CGCCCGCCCGCCGGGCGCCCTGCTGCCCCCGCCCGCGGCCCGCGCGCCGCCGCCTGGCCCCGCGCTCACGGGCCCCGCGCCCCGACCCCGCTGGCCGGGCCCGCCCTGGGGGAGCCGGCGGGTGGGCGGGTGGCGAGCGGCCCAGGCCGCGGAGCCTCGGGCTGGCGGAGCCGGCGAGCCCGCTCTCCCTCGGGGCGCGCCCACCCGCTTTCCGCGCGCCGCGTCGGCCGGGTCGGGCGGCTTCCTCCGCGCTCGCGGGCGCTCTGTCATGGGCTTGGGTTCCGGCTCCGGCTTGGGCTCCGGCCCGGGGAGTGAGGATCGGAGCCGGGCTGAGGCGGCGAGCGGGGCTGACAGGCCGGCGGGTGTTGTGGTGCGAGGCGCAGCACGTGTGGTGTTGTGTCTGCCCGGCTGTCAGCCCCGCCGCCGAGGGAAGGCCGGCCGCCTGTCAACCTCGCCTTCTGGCCCGGTGCGCGACTGTCAGGCTCCCGGCACCCCGCGCCGCCCTCGAGCCGGCCCCCGGAGCTTAGGGTGCGGAGCTGGGCTGGGGCGATGCACCGCTCTGAACTCCTTCACGTGATTTCATTGTTAACTTGTTCTCGGGGTCTGTATCCATCGCGTGGAAACGGCGCAGCGCCCGTCGGCGGGCTGCGGGGCTGTGCCGATCCAAGTTTTTAAAGTTTCTCGCTCTTTGAAAAGAGAGCGCGAAGACGTGTTTGGGGGTGGGGAATGGGGACGGGAAGGACTGTCGGAAGCGAGTAGCGCTCGCTCTAGCCGCTGGTGTACTTTCCGGGAGTTAAGTTCCGAGGCTGCAGGCGCCTTACTTTCCGAAGACCTGGAGACTGCTGCCAATCCGGGTCGGAAAGACAATGAGTGACTGTCACTCATTCTTTTACCTGCGAAGCTTAATCAATTACGCCGTTCGTTCCCAGCTTCTTAAGCTCACGTTGTAGCTTCTCATTTAGTTTAGCTTAATGTCTGTATAGTGAGCTTGCTTGGAGTAATAATACTCCGATTTCTATCCTCTGGAGACCCTCACCAAAATGAAGAATCCCTCTCCCAGGGGGCTTCTTTTTAGGCAGCTAATTTTAAAACAAATCTTGGCTCAGATTTGAATGTTTGCTTCACTCTTTTATTTCCTATCAGAGTTAATAGTAATCTCTCTTTCCTAGTGTGTATTAGTTTTCCGTTTGATTTTAATGTCACTACTAAGAATAGTTGCTGTGGGAGCCATTTGTCTACCATTGTTTATATTGTAATGCAAATGATTTCCAGAACGAGAGCCGAAGTTCCAAAAAAACGCTTCAGTTAAACTTATTTTTGGAGGCCAAAGAGTTAGATTCAGAATTCAATATTTTAGTGATTAAAAAAAATTGTATCTACCATATTCTTTTGTAGGAAGGGATACTGACTTTGATTCAGAGAGACAGTATATTTGTGTTTGTATTTTATTCATGTTCGTTTCAGAGCAGCAATCTTGAATTTATATCTTTATTATATGGGCTTCTGTTGAGACCCACAAGTAGTCAGTACATTGTTTTTCTGTACTGTACATTTTGTATGTAGTATGTGCATTGACCCCAGGGCCTTCCTTATTTCTAGTTTTCCTGTCTATGAATTGCTTATGCACAACTTGACAGCTGTGACTCTCTTCAGCATATGGATAGTAACATCTTAGTTTGGATTAGGAGACGCTAACAGCATATAATTCTTCAAGTTTGAATGAAAGTGGATTATTTTTAAATTCAGTAAAGCACTTTCACTCTAGGCTATTTTCAATAGTATTTTTGTTTCCATTTGAAAAGCTTAAGGTAATATTGTACTTAAACTATAAACTAGGCGCATGCTGTATTCATTGTTTATTTTCACATATGAAATAGCTAAATTTTCTCAATCGTTTTCTGCCTGTCGACTGTTTTTTATCCACTCTGAATGTCTAGAATTTTGAAAGATGAAAGATTCACTCTTACTTTCATTGCAGGATTCTTTCTACTAATCCAGATACTTGTTGAAGTGCTGACTAGTTTCTTGGGGAAAGATGTCGAGGAAGAGTTGAAATTCCTAGACTGGTGAGCAGAGATTGTGGAGTATAGAATAGCCATCATCCCCTCTGGTTAGTGGTAGCTTAAGGTCATTCTTAGAACATCTCCTGTGTTTCCTCCTTGTATCCCAATTACTCATCTTTTCTTTTCTTTTTTATCCCAATGGTTTATGTACATGATTGTTTGGAATTTAATAGATAAGTTTGGAAATTCTAAAGGGTGCCTGGTAAACACTTGCTGTTTGATTGCTGTAAGATAAGGATGCTTATTTTCATTCAAAATAGGTCTTAGTAGAAAACTGACATTATTTTCATTGCTTTTCAGGCATAAGATGCACATTTTTCTGCTCTGAAGCTGGGAATGAAATATTCTTGAGTTCTTACAACTTTATGACGAGACCCATGTGTGGTGCTATTGAGAAATTCATTGGGAAGTTTGAAGACATTTCAAACAACAGGTTGTTTTGGTTTTTATAGTACAATTGGGGAGGCATTCTATTTTGTGAAAGGAGGAAGGACTTAGGCCAGAAAACTTGTATGCTATGGTTAACTGGTTCCCAGCCTCCGAGAGTCTTGTTTTCCATGGTGTAAAACTTACTCAGCATCAGGATAAGGGATAACGACTCTATGGATATACAGAATCCTTCACCATGGTAAAACTCGCAAACCCGCTTTATACTGAGTGGATTTTGGAGGCCATCAAAAAAGTGAAAAAGCAGAAACAGCGTCCTTCAGAAGAAAGGATATGCAATGCAGTGTCTTCATCCCATGGCTTGGATCGTAAAACTGTTTTAGAACAATTAGAGTTGAGTGTTAAAGATGGAACAATTTTAAAAGTCTCAAATAAAGGACTCAATTCCTATAAAGATCCTGATAATCCTGGGCGAATAGCACTTCCTAAGCCTCGGAACCATGGAAAATTGGATAATAAACAAAATGTGGATTGGAATAAACTGATCAAGAGGGCAGTTGAGGGCTTGGCAGAGTCTGGTGGCTCAACTTTGAAAAGCATTGAACGTTTTTTGAAAGGTCAGAAGGATGTGTCTGCATTATTTGGAGGCAGTGCTGCCTCTGGCTTTCACCAGCAGTTACGATTGGCTATCAAACGTGCCATTGGCCACGGTAGAATCCTTAAAGATGGACCTCTTTATCGGCTCAACACTAAAGCTACCAGTGTGGATGGGAAAGAGAGTTGTGAGTCTCTTTCCTGTTTACCTCCAGTGTCCCTTCTTCCACATGAAAAGGATAAGGTAAGAATGGCATATGCGTCCGGGTTTATAGAGCTGATGATACAGGATGCTACAAATTCACGTTTCTAGGAAGTTATATTCAACTTTTTTGTTTGGGGACTTTTGCGAAGTGATCACCTCTGGTTTTTTATTGGTGCGTTCTAGCTATGAGAACTTCATATATTTGTTCTGATGCTTTGAAATATTTGAAGCCTATTATTTTGCCTGAGGAGTACTCCAACATGAGACTTGAAAACTTTTAACTAATGCCTTACTGCTGGAAGTTGATGAGCAGCCAAATCCTGGAGACTTGAATTTGAAACAAGCAGATGACTCTGAGAATCTGTCTTTCTCTATTTTCCATTTTATGTCATATTATTCTTTAGACAGGAATGAGACAGATCTCATGACCCATAGGCACAACTAAACAAACTTAGCAATTCTTGTTTCTGCTGTTTGTATTATAGCTTTCTATCATGTATTACGGCTTTGCATATGATGAAGTCCTAAATGTTATTTATGACGGTTATAGTTACTTGGGACAGGAATACAGTATCCTATATTAGAAAAGTTCTGGAGAGCTTGGTACAGTAGCTCATGCCTGTAATCTCAGCACTTTGGGAGGCTGGGGTAGGAGGATGGCTGGAGCCCAGGAGTTTGAGCCTAGCCTGGGCAACGTAGCGAGACCCCATGTCTACCAAAAATAGAAAGATTAGCCAGGTATAGGCATGCCTGTAGTCCTAGCTACTTGGGAGGCTGTGTTGGGGAGGATCACTTGAGCCCAGGGGCTCGAGTCTGCAGTGAACTATGCTCTTGCCACTGTATTTCAGCCTGGACAACTAACTAACTGAGACCCTGTTCTGAAAACAGAAAGGTAAAGTTCTGGAGAGTTAGGAGTTTTGATGTCCAGGTGTATACTTTGTTGTGTGTTTTAGGGTGTTATTGTGTATAGTTGAAAGTATGACTTCTTAAAGAGTAAATTTGGTGCTTACGTAGATACTTGGAGATTAGGAGAATTTTGTTAGTACCTGTGTTTTACATTGACCTAGTATCTTAGCTGTAAATTTACTTGAGTTGCTCTGAATTGTAGTTCCTTGGAGAGCAGTGATGCTTTAAGTTTCTGCACACCTTGGTATAAATAAAATGATCTTCATTTCGCTTAAGATGATGGAGAATACCTCTAAGGGAGAGATGGTAAAGTTAACATGGAATGTATTTTAAAAATTTGAGGTTTGATCTAAATTTGTTGTATTGTTAGCAGCCCACTGAATACCTGTGGATTTTTCTTTAACAATTGAAAACAGTATTTTTCTTTGATGAAGGTTTTAGTGATCTATTTTAGGGTTGAATTTTCCCTGTGAACATTGAAATAGAAACATAATCTTACTGTTATTACCCTTGAAATGATTCTCATATAATCATGAATTGATAGAGAATCTCATTCATAAAATGGTTCTATATGATTTGAGCATTCTTTTTTTCTTTTTTCGAGATGGAATGTTGCTCTGTTGCCAGGCTGGAGCACAGTGGCGCAGTCTCGGATCATTGCAACCGCCACCTCCCGGGTTCAAGCGATTCTTCCGCCTCAGCCTTCCAAGTGGCTGGGACTACAGGCACGTGCCAAATGCCCGGCTAATTTTTGTATTATTAGTAGAGACGGGGTTTCACCATGTTGGCCAGGATGGTCTCGATCTCTTGACCTCGTGATCCACCGGCCTCGGCCTCCCAAAGTGCTGGGATTGCAGGTGTGAGCCACCGCACCTGGCCTAATTCAAGCATTTATTAAGACTATGTATTAAAAATTCAAGGTAGACAAGTAATTAAAATGCTTTTTTCTGTATTTCAGTGCTGCAAGAACTCTTACCTGAAAAAACTGTTTCTTTATCACATGTGGCTGAAGTTAAATATAATGATTGAGTTTCTACAGTTATTATAAAATGATCTAACAGGTTAACTGCCTGGAAACAGGAAGTAATTTATAGTTAGATCAGTTCAGTGCCATACCTGTGAATTGGATGTTATAAGTTCTTGTTAGGACAGCTGTTTGCTTTCATTTATTTATTTTTGAGATGGGATCTCACTCTGTTGCCCAGGCTGGAGTGCAGGGGTGCAGTCTCAACTTACTGCAACCTCCGCCTCCCAGGTTCAAGCAATTCTTCTGCCTCAACTTCCCAAGTAGCTGAAATTACAGACATATGCCAGTATGCCTGGCTAATTTTTGTATTTTTAGTACAGACGAGGTTTCACCATGTTGTCCAGGCTGCTCTTGAACTCCTGACCTTAGGTTATCCATCTGCCTTCACCTCCCAAAGTATTGGAATTACAGGTGTGAGCCATGGTGCCTGGCCTGTTGTTTGCTTTTTATTATAATTACCCCTGCTTGAATTATCAATAGATATTTTAGTTAAAAAATATATTAGCCATATAAAAATGTCATTTGTGCATATTTTTAAAAGGTGGTCAATATGGTACAATGCAAGACAAATCCAAGTCCTAGAACCCTGGGATTTTACTTTTGGAAGGGACCCTGAGAACCGTCTAATAGTCCTTATTTTGCAGCTGAGCTAAGGACCTTTGTTGAGACCACTTCATAGGACCTTTTTATTAAGAAAAGTTTAATTTAGTAGAGATGTGCTGGTTTGCTTTGGCTGCAGTGCAGTGGTGCAATCTCTGCTCACTGCAACCTCTGCCTCCAGGGTTCAAGTGATTCTCCTGTCTCAGCCTCTTGGGTAGCTGGGATTACAGGTGTGCACCACCACACTCAGCTACTTTTTTTTGTATTTTTAGTAGAGACAGGCTTTCACCATGTTAGGCTGGTCTCAACTTCTGACCTCAAATGACCTGCCTGCCTTGGCCTCTCAAAGTGCTGGGATTATAGGGGTGAGCCACTGCACCTGGCCTTATTTGCTTTTTCTTGGAGAAATAAGCAAAACAAGAAAAGCAAAAGTCATTTATTTAGTAATTGAAAAAATGAAAAAGAAATACCCATTTGCTTACATAGCTTTCATATATAGTGTTGTTAACCAAAGTAACTAAATTTAGACATATGGGGAAATTGAGTTTCTTTGAGTAAGTAGACTTGTATGTGTACTGATCTCATTGGAAAACTAATTTCTTGAAAATATCTATGAAATTAGAGTTGATGAGCTCTGTTCTATATTTTTAAATGGAGTCTTATCTTCAGTAGTGAATTTCCTGTGCGACTTCCCCAAAGATATGAACAGTTCACATTCAAAATCATAATACAGTGAACTCTAGAATGAGGAATTATTCCTCTGAACAGATTATGTCTGCCCCTTTTATTGTATTTTAACTATTTTCGTTCCTCTCCTTTAAACTATCCAGTCAGTTCCTATGCAGAATTGTTGGTATGCTGTTATGAACCTAGATGTTCTCAAAAAAGAAAAAAAATTAGACAGTTTATTTGACAGTGATAGAGAAAGGAAGGTGTATAGGCAAGAAGTATTTTCATTTTTAGGCATTAATTGGCTCAGCATATAGTCAATGAGCATCTACTGTGGGCCCAGCACTCTGCTTGGAACAGACAGTTCTGTCTTCTCTGGGGCACTAATACAGGTATTTCTATTGACCTGGCCAGCTGTAAGGGGAAGATGAAATTCAAAGACTGTGTGGAGTAACCTGAGCAAGTTCCTCTTTATTTTTTCCGATATCAATTCTAATTTTTCTATTTGTGTGTGTGTGTGTGTGTGTGTGTGCGCACGCGCTATTAACCTTTGGATGGAACTCTATGTTAGATTTTCAGCTGCTGAGTGGTTTTGGTCTTTTTGGGAGATCAACTGTAAAAATACGTTTAAGAGGAGTTCTGTGAAGACATTTGAACTTTAGTATGTTCTTTTCACATTGATAAGTAGTGAGGAGAACCCATGGGATACTGTGATTAAAAGTTTTTACCCATGTTACAAGGGAAATTTTTGAGCTAACTTTAGAGTGTGGTAGTTCATGGTGAGTTTATTTGTTTAACTTAAGTGTTTGTTTACTATGTGCCAGGCATTACTTTAATGCTGTACTTATATTAACTCATTTAATCCTCTAACATAACTAGCTAGTTATTAATAACATACCAGTACCAGCAGTGAAATAGGTACTGTTATTTTACAGCTGAAGAAACTGAGGCATAAAAGAGATTTCAGTAATTTGCTGAAGTCACACAAATACTGGTGGCAGAGCTGGGATTTGAATTTGGGCAGTCTGGCTCCAGAGGCTTTCTAAATAGCCACACTGACCACCTCTTAGGAGCAGTGGCCATCACTGCACTCAAGTACAAAATTGTGAATTTCCTTGGTATTAACTTCATAGCACGTTTCCTAATTGTGAAAGGGCAAGTTTCCGTCACCCCACTTTCATTGTTTATGTCCTTTTTTCTTTTTTGCAGGAGAGATTTGAAAACTCACTTTGGACCAGTGATAAGAATATGTTAGGACGCAAATAATCTAGTTTTGTATGTCTGAGATCCATTAAAAAAAAAGTTTCACTTACATGCGATTTTTTTTTTTTCCCTTAAAGATAATTTCTTTACTTAACTAATTTTCATTTCAGTTGTCACCAACATTTTCTGATAGGCAATTTAACTAATTTTCATTTCAGTTGTCACCAACATTTTCTGATAGGCAATTTAGGGAATCCGTTGTATGGCTATACCAGAGTGCTTTAATTTGCGACAAAAATACTGCTTTCCTTGAATCATGGGATTACAGGTTAGGAGGATAGTGTGTAAGTGGCTTAACTAGTAACAACTTCCTCCTTGTAAATTTCTTTTTGAAATGCAGATATCACTGTAAGGTAATTTGTTCCATTTATTTAACTTATTCATTATTTAGCAAGCATTTGAATGCCTGCCATGAACAGTGCATTTAGGATTTAGGTCCTGTGAGGGGATTAAAGCAGAAATAATGAAGACACAAAATACATTTTTTGAAAGCCTTTTTTACTTTATGAACTGTGTTTTTTTACATTATTATTTTTTCATAACAATTAAATGTCATGACTCTGAGAAATAATTAGATGTTTAGTGGGCAAGGCAATTATTTGAGATTGTAATGGTCTATTTAAAAAATTATCTTTATATAGTGAGACTTGGAAAGATTCAGTTTCCTTTCAAGAATAATTTTCACCTTGATTTCAAACTTCTGAGTTCATTTTACACACTAACATAACTTACTTGAATATATATAGCTTGTGTTCTGTATTACTAGTCCAGAAAAGCATGCTCTTTCATGGTAATCAGCCAAATCAGTGTTGTTACTCTGTGGCATAGTGTTTTGGAACAGAACTATAATTTGCTAAAGCATTCAGTTGGAAAGAGAAGAGAAGGTATTGTCAACTGTTATTGTTCAAGTTACTACCCAGCTGGGTAACCTGGAGCAGAAAGATCCAATGATAGATAAATCTCTTGACTTCCACCTAAGTTACCTCTCAATATGGTCAACTCTGGTGTCCAAATTATTTTGTTTTATTGGAATTTTATTTTAAATTATAGACTAAGTAGGGCTTTGACAGGAATTTAGATTTTTGATGTAGAGATACTACTGATTTAAATGTTTTTTTTTTTATTTAAGAGATGGAGTCTTGCTCTGTTGCCCAGGCTGGAGTGCAGTGGTGCAACCTCCGCCTCCCAGGTTCAAGCGATTTTCCTGCCTCAGTCTCTTAAGTAAGCCAGGATTATAGGTGTGCACCACCAAGCCTGGCTAAGTTTTGTATTTTTAGTAGAGATGGGGTTTCACCAGGTTGCCCAGGCTGGTCTTGAACTCCTGACCTCATGATCTGCCCGCCTCGGCCTCTCAAAGTGTTGAGATTACAGGCATGAGCCATCACACCTGGGGATATGTTTTTAAGTTACAGAAAGTTAAGAGTGTTAAAGTTTTGATTTAGCTATTTGGAAATGACCTTTATGGTAGAATTGTTTCACATTTTATATGTTAGAATTATGGTGTTATATAAGAAAACTGTTAATAAATGTAAGCTTGGAAATTTCAATTTCAGATACCTTGTTGCTTTGAAATTGTGTGAAAAAGGCAATGAATAGTAGTCCATGCTGTTAAATTTAGGGGATGTGTGGACTGCTTGACAGAATGATTGTTCACTTCAAAAAAAAAAAACCCAAAAAATGTTCTGAAAGCAAAAGATAAAATGTTGAGAATACAGTGACATAGAAAATGTAGCTATCGTAATATTATCAAGTGTGAAACGGATTGATCTCAATAATTGTTATATTTAATAATTTTTCATGACATACATTTCTTTATTTTCTTTTGAGATGGAGTCTTGCTCTGTCACTTAAGCTGGAGTGCAGTGGCCCAGACTCCGCCTTCCAGGTTCAAGTGATTCTCCTATCTCAACCCCCGCAGTAGCTGGGATTACAGGTGCGTGCCACCATGTCCAGCTAATTTTTGTATTTTTAGTAGAGACCAGGTTTCACCATGTTGGTCAGTCTGGTCAGTCTGGTCTCGAACTCCTGCCCGCCTCGGCCTCCCAAAGTGCTAGGATTACAGGCGTGAGCCACTGTGCCCGGACCATGTCGTACATTTCTTTTTTTTTTTTTTTTAAGAGGGAGTTTCCCTCTTGTTGCCCAGGCTGGAGTGCAATGGTGCAATCTTGGCTCACCACAAACCCTGCCTCCTGGGTTCAAGCGATTCTCCTGCCTCAGCCTCCGGAGTAGCTGGGATTACAGGCATGTGCCACCATGCCTGGCTAATTTTGTATTTTTAGTAGAGATGGGGTTTTTCCATGTTAACCAGGCTGGCCTCGAATTCCTGACCGCAGGTGATCCACCTGCCTCAGCCTTCCAAAGTGCTCGGATTACAGGTGTGAGCCACCACGCCCGGCCAACTGTACAAATTTTTTTGATCATCTACTTCACCTATGAGCTCAATGATTTTTGGTAATTTTTAACCCATGACACCCCCCAAAATAAAACGAGCTACTTACTAAAGCTTGGGTTAGCCATTACTAATCAGAACTTCTATACCAAACCAATTTTTCTTATACTTAACAGTCTAGACATTTTTCTAGTGACTAAGTACTTTACTCTTTCTTGGTCCACCTTCCAACTGATGAAATAAAGGGAACAAATCAGTGAAGACATCAGATACCACAAATGGCTTCAGGAATAGAAATCTAAAGGATTTAACCATCTTAACCTCTTTTTTTTTTTTTTTTTTGCTCTATATTGATAGGGCAAAGAGTTGGAGGGAATGTAAAAAGTTGCCTACAGAAACCTGTTAATAGCTAACATTTGTTAAGGGCTGATGATGTGTTGGGCACTTTTTAAAGTTCTTTAACATGTTCTTATTGAAGTCTCAAAAGAACTCTACATGATTAAGTTTTATAGGCATAATATATTTATATAATAGGTATTTAATAGTATTTAATAATATAAATTTTTGTTATGTCTTATAGAAAACCAAATGGAAAATGAATATAAAGAAATGCAAAACACATTAAATTTCTTTTGACCCTAGCTGCCTGTTTTTTATTTAGTTGATCCTGGACATGTGGGCCAGTACTTTTTTTTTGTTACACTTATCTTTAATACTAGGAGAGCAAATACACGACAGGAACTGTGATGAATCTGGAAAGAAAATTTTTATCATTCAGCCTTCTTGAGGCTGTAAGAATCTCTTTAACATCTTTTAGATTTGTTTTCTCTTTGCATTTAAAGTTTTGGAGAAAATACCTTCATCATACCAACTTGGTTCTTAGCTATGTAAGAGGACTAATCTAGGTGCCAAGTTTACTGGTTTAAGTAGAATTAAAAATTTATTTTTTCTGGTGACCTGGAGAGTGTTTTTAAAAATTATAAAAATTGAATGCTTTTCATGCTCTGATTTATGCATAGGAATTATTAAGAGCTTCATTCTGATAAAGTTGTTTACCAATTGGCTACTCAGTGGTGGAGTCATTTCACAAAGGATCTGCAGCAGATGAATTAGACCAGTAGTAGCTTCACCCTTCTGCTTGTCCCAGCTGGAGCAGGATTAGGACTCATTCAACTGCAGCTGGTTCCCAGGAAAATGAAAGCAGTTCCTTCTGGTTTTTTTCCTTTCACAGGAAAGTCGTAGTTCCCAACAGATGGCTTTCATCAGCCCTGTACATGTATCTGTAAATTCAAGGCCAAAGAATTACTTTCATCTTCATTAAGGAACAGGTGAAAAAACCGTTTGTAGTGTGGCACTATTTTGTTAGGGGTTGAATTAAGCATAGAGATTATAGTAGTATGTAATTCTGGGTCAAAATAGCTTTTAACTGTCAGCAATTAAAAAGAAAGACTGCTAAGGAAAAACAAATCTGGCTGTAGTGTTGATTGAGATATCTTTTATGGTTGAGTTGTATTTTGCTTATGAAATAGAGATGATTAGAAAAAAAGACTTGTATCTTCTGCATTTTGTAGAATGTTGAGCCAGTAGCAATCTTGGATCACAGTGATTCTAATCTGATTTCACAAATAATAGGGAAATTTGAGAGCCAAAGATTGAAGTGTCTTGTCCAATGCCACAGAGAAAGTTGATACCATCTAGGAGAATTGATCGGGCCCTTCTCAGTTCTGTGCTCTTTTCATTATGCTGTAGTACTGTGAGCCTAAGATAATTTAGTTAGAATTGTCTTCCTTAATGGAAACCATAGAATAAACCTTGTCTAGAGATTTTTGGTGGTATTGTAAACCACAGGTATATAAATCTGCTATTTCAGTGTATGAAAATAGCTGTACTCTCTTGTTAAGAGTTTTCAAACAACTTTTTGGGAAAAGACTGCTTTCTTATGGCCCAGATGAGAGGAATCAGAAAGTTTTCTTATGTTACTGGCTGAATATTAGAAGAGGAACATGTTGAGCTATCTTAATGCTGAAAGAAAAAGTGCTCCTTGAGTTTTGAAATAAAAGTTCATTTAAAGGTAAGTCTGGCTGGGCACAGTGGCTCACGCCTATAATCCCAGCACTTTCGGAGGTAGAGGCAGGTGGATTACTTGAGGTCAGGAGTTCGAGACCAGCCTGACCAACGTGGAGAAACCCCATCTCTACTAAAAATACAAAATTAGCTGGGCGTGTTGGTGCATGCCTGTAATCTCAGTTACTCAGGAGGCTGAGGCAGGAGAATTGCCTGAACTCAGGAGGTGGAGGTTGCCGTGAGCCAAGATTGCGCCATTGCACTCCAGCCTGGACAACAAGAACAAAACTCAATCTCAAAAAAAAAAGGTAAGTCTGATTTTTAATAGGTCTGTTTACCAGATGATCTCTGAGTGACTTGGATAATTGGTTAGAATTTAAAATTCTTGAGACTGAGATAGAGATAGCAAGGTACAAGCCATTCTATTATTTAATGAAGTAATTTTTACCAAAGACATTAAATATGGGTAGACCAAAAGTGTATAGTCTAGCACTCCTATAAACATAGTGTCTGGGAAGAGCTTGAGAAATTTGTAATGTTATCTGTAAACAGACCGTGTGGGGAAGACTGCAGACAACACTTATTTTTTGTCTTTATGACTAACACTTCATCTCTGCATCATTCTGCTTTGTTGTAAAGCTTAGCAAGTACATTAGAATAGTGGCAAATAAAGGTTAAGATTGGGGACAGTTATTTGTAAAATAATTGGGCGATTTTAAGATTATAGGTGTAACTTGTTAAGAAGAAAATAGCCGGTGTGGAAAGAA